TAGAAGCATGTCAAATACCGCTGGACAAGTGGCGCCAAGCTGTGTAAGATACCTTCGGCCTGATGATGATGGCACACCCAGTATTCGACGAAAGCTATGACACGTCCATCAGCGCATTCTCAGATGATATCCTGCAGTTCCATGCGCGCGCCCGCCCGACGGCTGCACGTTCTGCTGCTCAATTTCGACGCGCCAGCGATGCGCTGGACGACGCGCTCACGCCGGCGGGCTACTCTCAGAATCGTGGCAAGCAAGAGGTCGCCCCATGCCTTGGGTCTGCGCAGCAAGCCCGCCTTGTTTTCAAACAGCCCGGCATTGGGGGAGTTTTGCACGAGGTGAAACACCTGGGGGCGATGATTGATCCGGAGGGGCCCATGGTATCTGAGAAAGCCGCGGTAAAAGCTCCACGGATGAATTGGCCACAGTTTTATGGAGTTTGGTTTGCCAGCATTCCACGAGCAGCGAAGAGGGCGGCCTACGTCTCGAGGGGCCAGGGTGCTGCGTTATCTGGCATGGCTTCTTTAGTACTTCAGAGCGTTGATTATCGAGCTCTAGATACACCTATTTCGGGACATCTCATGGCGATGTTGCAGGGGGGGGCCAGGATGGACACGGAGACGCGCATTCGTACCATCACTTACCGTGAGGTCTGGAAGTTTTGGGGAACGTGCCCGTCCGCCCTAGTGCGACGTGTTCGTCGCTCACGCTGGCTGCAGGCGATGATAGTGCATCCAAGAGAGCACGAGCTCCCCGTTTCAGCGCTGTTCGGCTGTTCGGCACGATGCAGCGCGAGGCGGGCCGCGGGTCTGCCGCGACGCTGACGCTGGAAGGCCGAGTACATTATACCGCCAACCCTTGGGCAAGAATGTTCGAGGCCGACGTGCGCAGCTCTGTGGGCGTCTCGGGGTGCGGGTCTTTCGGAAGTATATGGGGTCGAAGTATGTTGTCGCTTTTTCAGGACGAAGAAATTGGGCGAGCCTTTTGTTTTTTTGATGCAGGGGCTATTCGAGCCAAGTTTGGGTCTTCTTCGGTTGCCCCACCTGAGTATGATGTGATGGTCCCTGACCCTGTTCTAGATGTTGGAAGTTCATTGGGCCCTACGTGCGGATGGGATATGCTGGTTGGGTCCGGATGCAAGTGTGACGCGCGTGTTGTTACGTGTAAGAGCCTTCGTGCCCACCAGGTGAAATCCCATGGAGTTCGAAACGCTGCTCGTGCCGCGATCGCGACGAACCAATGTCTCGCGCGCAGCTCGACGCTCAAATCCGAAGCGCGTGCGAAACAACATCTTCAATCTGCCCTTGTTCATCATCGGTGTTTTGCGGATCGATTCCCCGTGGGAACACCAGTCCAACAACCCGCGGAGCTAACGTGCCCGTTTGGCCGCGTAGATTATT